CTATGCTGAGTATCTCTATCGCTTTGAATGCTCTTTCTATGCACGCGACCTGTACCGCCGTCTTTGTCGCAGTTGCAGCGATTATTGGATTCGGCTTTTCTAGCATACGGACGCTGGGACGAATCAGTTGGCTGGCATGGGTTGGTGTTACGAGTATCATCGTTGCCGGTAAGTCTAGGCTCTTAGCCCCTACCTAAACCTGCAGCATCTAATAGCTTCGCTAGTTCTCACTGTGACCATTGCTGTTGGCCTACAGGATAGGCCTGCCGCAGCACCAAAAGATCTCCCTTGGAAGTCGGATTTCAAGCTCGTAGGCTCGCCCACTTTCACAGAGGCCATCGCTGCCATCTCTGCACTCGTTTTCTCGTACGCAGGCACGCCAGCGTTCTTCTCCATTGTAGCTGAGATGCGCGAGCCCAAGCATTATACCCGAGCTCTCATTCTCTGCCAATCTGTTGTCACGCTCGTCTACGTGGCTGTAGGTGCCGTTGTCTACTACTACTGTGGATCATACGTTTCTTCGCCCGCTCTCGGCTCTGCTGGGCCCAGCGTCAAAAAAGTTGCTTATGGACTCGGTCTTCCTGGTCTTATTGTCTCGGCCGCTGTCTTGCTCCATGTGAGTGTCTTGATTCCACAGAAGCTTGAATCTGCGCTAACCACATTGTAGTTACCGAGCAAGCACGTATTCGTTCGAATTCTGAGAGGATCAAGGCACCTGACAGCTAACACCTTTACCCACTGGGCGACCTGGATTGGCTGTACCTTCACTGTGGCTTTGGTGGCCTATCTGGTTGCTAGCGGTATTCCCGTATTCAACAGTCTTATCTCTCTCATCGGTGCGCTTCTCGGCACACTGATCTGCTTCCAGCCGATGGGCTGCATGTGGTTCTACGACAACTGGACGAAAGGAAAACAGAACCCTACCATAAGATGGTACGCTATGTGTGTTTGGGCTGCTTTTGTTGTGGTTTCGGGAACGTTCTTGATGGTCGCTGGGACTTACAGTTCCATCATGGGAATTATCAATGACTACAACGGCCCAAACCGGTCCTCTGCTTGGTCATGCGCAGACAACTCGAACTCTGTATGATTTTATGGGTAAAGAATCCGAGCAATAATTAGCGGCATGTTATACCACCAGAGGAAACAGGTTGCATTTGATTCTACATATGTGTACTGTCACTGGAACTGCTCCGCGGCGTTGAAGTGAGCTATGTGTTCTGCATAATCTCTTTATCTCGACTTCAGAAGTCATTAGAAGAGAGATAGACCCCCCGAGACCCACCAGCTGACTTGGAATACCCCGGCCAGACGATGGAGCCTTCCGATCTCCGATCTCTGTTACTATCTATTTCTCCACTTCTCGGGAAGACTTTCTAGTTTGGATTTCCACGTTAGGGCAATAGTTACTGGGATCAATGTACCTGGTTGTCCAGAGTAGCTTCTGCTCTTGCGGGCTTAAGCGGGATAGACCACAGTAAATACCAAAGTCTACTTATGTATTTACTAGAGTAGGCAGGGTAAGGTGCATGTAAGGTGAAATTACAAAGTATCAAGCTTTTAGATAATCACAGAGATGAGGCGTATAGGAACATAATCATGCGCTCACTTTAAACAGCAATCTTCTGCGTTAGGGACCAAACAGGTTGATGTAGTCTGGTGACCTGAGGCGAAAGCAGGCCTCGTGCTTGCTTAACATTTAAAGTCTCAGAGCATCGGCGTTGCAGGGCAGAAGAGATTCCGAAACCGCGGAGGCATCTGAGTTTTGTCAATCTTGGTACCTGGCATTGATAATGTCGTCGCATCGCGGAACGCGGGACCTGTCGGCCCCCGGGGAATGACTGTGAGTGCGGTGCAGTTCTCGCGCGGTTGGAATCTGTCCCGCCCTGAGATCGGATAATCACACCTCCGGGTTGTCAGTTTTCTGAAAGTAGAAAGGTATTCGAACTGTCTCGAAATGAAACTTTCCATCTAAGCGTGAGTTGTAAATGAGTATTTAAGATGCCTCAGTAAGGCTGGGGGCATAAGAAGGCAGAAACATGGGGATCTCAATATGATTCGCTCACGCGCCAGACACAGAACCAGAATGGCATGTCGCCCGTAGGGAGAGTGGGATACCGGAATGTCTCGGCACACAAAGCCAGCTGACAGGATACGAGATCTGATGTGCAGGGCTAGAATCCTGGACACTTACTACATGTAGCTTTGGTGGCCCCCGAGCTCTCTATCAAGCCAAAGATCCAATGACTGCGAATCAATCCAACCACCAAGATCAAGGACCGAATACATCGGCAATCCTTATCTAATGATGGACATGTCTATGAACTTATACTCTGTATATGGTTTTCAATAGTAGTCTTCATAAATTAAGAGCAGTTGAGAGATCTGAATTCTGCCGGAAATGCAGCCTGTATTAATCAATTTGAGGTGTGTTTTGAGGTGACAAGATTCACTGTCTGCACTAAATTATGCAGCAGAAACCTGATGTTGGTCATGTAGTCGAAACTGCGGCGTAGTTCTCCCAGCTCTATAAATCACCTGTATCCAAGAAACTAACATATGCCAAGTGAGTCTCCGGAAGCTTAGCTGCAACGCATGTACGCAGCAATCATCAGTAAACTTATTAAGCCATTCTTTTAGTATCTATGTGAGCTGAAAAGGGGGGAAAAGTCACTATCGACTTGAAGTGTCTTATCTCTCTACCCGACAGAGACCTCGCTGACTGAAAGACTGTCGGCACATTAGTCGGATTGTGGGGTCAACAAAGCGTCCCGCGCCGCGCCGCACAGGGGTGGGATGCCGTGACGGGACTAGGCACTCCGAGACGCGAAGCGCCATTGAGCGTTATCGTGGTGGGTTTGCCCTGCCCGCGCGGGGGCCTCGGGGGCCGGGATGGTGCCGATCGCCCGTATAACATTCGCTCCAAGGACGGTTCTGAAGCCATCAGTCCCGAGCCTAGCCTTTCTGTGAGAGTTCTGTCAAACGAATGGTCTCTGCTTCCTCTGGCAGAACATGTCTTTATTCAGTTAGGTTACGAGCACCAACCCCTGGCTTATCCCAGCCCTCAGGGCCCTCACTCGACCACCCCTTATTCCCGCCCTCTGCCCAACAGTCATCGACCGACTTCAAAACACTCCTTTTTCCCCAGTTGTACGACCTCTGTGACGTGCACGGGCCACAATCTGACCACCTTGGGAACGTCTCTGTGTGGACAAGTCAGACTAGGGCAACCTGGTGATCCCCGAAACTCACGATCAGATTCGGGTTGGTTTGTACCAGTAAGAGCTACTCGCAAAGTTCATCTGGCAAACATACAACAATTCCAAGCCAGAAAAAACACGGCAAAAGTCGATGAGCGCTCTCCAGAGTTCCTCCGTGTCATGACGGCAATGGACCAAGATCCCGACCATGAGCCGGCGATCCGGAGTCTTGGCGGCCTGGATGTCATCGATTCCAATGGGGACCTCTACCTTTTTGTAGGAGAAGACGTTGAAGAAAAGCCCAAAAACTACTTTGTGTGCTCCAAAGCGCTCGCGAGAACCTCAACAGTCTTTCGAAAAATGCTCTATGGCGGCTTCGCTGAGTCGCGACCACATCATATGGATGGTGCCCCGCGAGATTGGACTGTGGAACTCCCCGATGACCGGCAAGAGGCTTTGGAAATGCTACTCAATATCTCGCATGGACGTTTTGAGAACGTTCCCGAACAACTGGAACTCACACGTCTCTATCAGTTTCTTGTGGTCACTGAGAAATACGACGCGACTAGCATCACGCGGCCATGGGCCCGCGGATGGATGGAGGCAGTCAAGACGAGTATGCAGAATCCGCTGCTTCTGGGTGTTGCCTATGAACTCGGAGACGCCCAAGTGTTCAATAACATGGCGATGAAGATTGCTACTGAGTGTTTAGTTGACGACGATGGAGACTTGGTGTTCGATTATAGCGGAGCGAACCGTGAAACTTACTCGTACAAGCTTTGCCACATCGAATATCTTTTCCCATCTGGCTTTGTCGGTGCGTATTCCGATAAGTTCTTGGTTTTGAGAGACTCCGTAATGAAACCAACTAACTCATGGCCCAGATGATGCTACAACAATACGCAAGACTCTCCTCACCACTATGCTGGAACCCTACGCCAGCCTCTACATGACGCTCAAACACGGAGACCGATGCATGTCATCGCCGCAAGATCCCACAGGTGGCAAACGGTGTGACAGCATTCTACTAGGGTCTCTCATCCGGTCCTTCGCAGCGCAGACAATCGATCTCACAGCCCCGGATCCCGTCGCAGCATACCGCGGGAGCGCCTCGGCGCTTCAGTCAGTTCTGCTCAAGCTCGAGCTGTTCACGGTTCACTCGGGCTTCTCGCATCCGTCCTCTACATCATTCAGCTTCGGGCAGACGACACATCCGCGGTTCGGCTTCACTTTGAGCGCTTGCGAGCATGTCTTGCAGTCCGGGCTGCGGGAGGGTGTGGAAAGGTCGTTGATGCTCAGGGGGGATATGAGCTTTATCCAGCCAAAGCACAAGGAATATTTGCAAAAGCAGGCGCAAAAGACGGGCCTTTCTAAGCAGCATTAATAATATTTGTGACCAACCTTCCTTCAGCATGAGCTGTTTTGGGAGTCTTGTGGCGGCCCCTCGCTTGCCTGGTAGACCAAATTCTCTTCGGCATGCGTGATGACTTTTGTCCCTTTCTCAACTCAGCAGTTCACGCTCCAGGTGTATGTTCCCATTCCTCTTAACATATAATAAACACTGCACGCTATGCTCCGGGACCATCGTGGATTTGCGGGCTCGTGTCTTCGCTCTCCTGGCTTCTGCCCATATCACGCGTCCGTTTCAACGATAAATCGGAATGCAAGGCCTCTGACCTCTTGCTCCCTCTCCACTCTCAGTTCAAGCACACACCGGACCATCTCGTAGTTGTCAGTCTCAAAGAACTCCTGATCTTTGTTCGTAATAAGGAAAGCGTGCCCATCTACGCAGCCCTTCTCCTAGGCCGACGCATCCACCAAAGCCTTGTACTTTCCGCCCCAAGTTGCGAGACGGCCACTGCGAACCTTTGCAGCTCGATAAACTGGCTCAATACCGAGAAGATTGTTCAGAACAGTGGGGTCCGCAAGAGTACCGTAGAAGAAGTACCAGACTGGGTACTGGTCCTGAGTCGGGAGTAGTCGTTGATCTGATTCGATCTGGGACTCAGAGTTTGGGCGGTGATGGGGCAAGGTGGCCTCGGATCCAAGGGTGGGATGCATCGATGTCGCGGAGAGCTTCTTATCCGCCTTTGCGTAGCGGATAAATGTGGGTTGAAAGGTTGACTCGATGTCGGAAAGGTGACTGAGGAGGATTTTCTTGGTTGCTTCGTCAACCTTGCAAAAAGAGGCGGCAGAGCCGTCGTCGCCTGTGCCGCTGAAACTCAAGGGCAGCATAGAAGAAGCACCGCAGATCATTTGAACGTCCTCGGGACTGGAGAAAGGACCCGCTAGCTCAAGGAGGTAGATGCTAGACTTCTTCTTCTTCCTCTTGGTCTGAGTACTTTGCTCGACGTGCGATGTCTGGGTTTGCGAAAGGCTGCAAGAATACTCGTAAGACTCCTTGTCGTAGCCCTGAGATTCCTCCTCTGCGCGAACCATGTCCCAGTGTAGTTCGGAGACATGGACTCGTGTAAAGTTGGATCGATGATCCTGGATCTTCTACGCGGCACCAGAGTATGTGTAGCCGAAGAGAGACTGCCACCTCTTGATGTCGTCGTAGTCCGGTTCAGTGTTGTCCTGTTGTGTCATAGCCATGGACTAAAGCTCGTGAAGAAGGTCCATGTTATCTGCTCGATTAGTGCGGTTTCTCAAGACGGGGTGACTCTGCTGATAAAGGAGTGTAGTGAGGCTTCAGATCAGCGGGACTGCAAGATGCTTGGTGAAGATTTGCAGCTCCGCATGTGTGAAAATTGGCGAGGATGGCTATTTGATGTATAGAGATTTTTATCGAGTGTTTCGGAGATACCTCTGATATGTGGGTAGACAGAAAGGTTGATAATGGGCTGCGTAACTAACATGGCTTACACCATGTACCATGATGAGCAAACCAACACTAGTAGAACCAGTGCCCTCTCAACCCTAACATCTGCCAAGTTTTAACATGTCATTACTAACTTTCTTGAAGAGAAATGACAAAGTCGGTTCGGATATCGTACATAGTACCTACTTACTACTCAAGGTAGATATCGTAACTATCGGGACACCGGTAATGTCGATGTTTCTGATAAGACTGTTCTTGTCTAGCATAGGCATCTGACTGTGATTCGATGATCATGCTTTTTATTCGGCGGCATGATTGCACAACGGATGACATAAAACAATCCTCTATCCATGGCATCGGTCATCTTCCCGTCAATCAAGCTCATCACTGCCATGATAGTTTCCAGCAAATGGTCGAGCGCCGCATTGTCCTGCCGACCACCATTTTCTATCTTGAACTTTACAACTCAATCCCCCTCTCGTTACCCAGTGCACTGTGCCTGTGAAATGAAATAAGCGCACCTTGGTATGGAGCAAGCTTGACACACAGTGCTGTGTGCTTCGACATGAAATCGGTGCCGTGCTCGGTTCTCCGGAGGTGTCGAGTATTGTTGATCAATTAATGAAATTCAGAGAGAAGATGCAGGACAACATGAATAAACGCGCTCCTGTTCCGCTTTTCTGAAGTAAATCAGTGGTAGATTGTTACTACTTACAATCGATCCGGCACCGTTTCCCTGGAAATTAATAGCAAGCAGAGCAGCTAAGCCCCCAGTTTCTCTCAATATGAGCCTCCAGCCATAATAGTTCTAGAAAAGAAGAAATTTGAGAAGGATGATCACTGGGAGTTGAAAACAAACCCCCCTGGATCCCTCATTTTGATTGACGTTAAATGCCTCTCACTACAAGCCCGTAGGTAACGCGCTATCGCTCTGAATGGCAAAAGTTGGTTTGACGAGAGCAAATGCCAGTTAGGACGGTAACTCACCACCTCGTAACTCCAATTTCCTCTGGCGGGTGGCCTCCCGAGGCTCACTTACACGAGGCCCGATTCGGCTAGGGAAGCAAGGAGGTCTGAGTGCCAAGAGAAAATCGCTCATACACAAAAGGCCAACACAGGCACGGTCGGATTCGGTGGTGATGGACAACCATTACGTTAAAATTACCTACAAGCTACTGCTTCCCCATGGGAAGCGGGCGCAAAAAGACCCAGATAATCTCAACGTTGTTCCAATCGTCCGCCAAGCCTACGGAATGCACTTGCATCCGAAGGACCTGATCTGGCAACCCGGATATGAATGCACGCAGCAACAGGAAGTTCTTAATCCCTCAACCGAAACATCACATGGCTTTCGAGTCGGTGAGATTGCTTCTGTGCAATGTTGACACGAAACACGGTGCAATCAGTAATACTCATGGATCGTTTGTAGGACTTAAAACCCGCAGGACAGCAGGATTTTTGTTTGTGTCTGCTTGGATTCTGCTCATCCTGATATCCTCCCGCCGTTCAACTTCCTCGTCAATATATTCCTCATGACATCATCCGTATGAGCCCGACAAGCATTCCAGATGCCGCTGTCACAGATGCCTCAACCACCTGGGTGCCCGAGAAGCAGCCAGGTGCCGTCGCAGCAGCACTCTGTGTCGCTTTCGCACTCCTAGTTGGCCTCGTACTCTACCTCTTCGGATGGAAGAAGATCAGGAAGTTGAGGCATCCTCCGCCGCCTCCGCCGCCTCCTTCTCTGCATCTTATAACAGCGGGCAATCACCGCAGTCGACATGAATCCCCTGATGCCTCGACTTTGAGCCCCTATAGCTTGCCCCGGCTACCGAGAAAAGCCCGTATGGCAAAGCTGACTCGGGGAAAGCTCGAGTCGTTGGCAAAGGTCGCTGAGGCCAAGACGTGTCCTGTTTGCCTGGATGACTTTGTCGCTGGAAGTGTTGTCGGCCAGTTGCCGTGCGGCCATGTCTTCTGTTCGGCCTGCATCGAGCTTTGGCTCCTCAAGCACTCTTACACATGTCCCTTGTGGTACGTCTCCCTACCTGACACAATACAGCATACGCGACTACTAACCTATTCTATTTGACTCTGGTTCAGCCGCTTCAATCTTGAAGCAGGCGAAGTGCACGCCAAACCACGAGAAAGGGGCGTGCAGTGATGGATCACGAGGCCACATCCAAGGGATGCTAATTCATCGAAGTATGCGACATATATCGGTAATATGGCAAATTACTCCTTCTGAAGCCTCGTAACTGCTGTGGCTGTATTTCATGCTGTAACTGTTGGACTCGGCATCTCATCATTCTCATATGATGCTACGAGGGGCGCTAGGTGCCGATAGGTACTGCATGAGAACGTTTCATGCGACAGTCCTGGAGGCATACTGTCATCGGAGTATCGTCAGTTTTTGCACCTTTACGCAAGTGGGGGATGGAGGTATAACAGTGGACGTAGCTGCAGTCTTTCCTGAAAGCTTTCAATCTAAGCATGACTGCCTGACTTGGTCTGTCAACGTGCCAATCGTGAATATGGCAGATTTTGAGCACCCAAAGCATGCTCCAAAAATACACAATCTTGAGCCACATGCTGACGCCCCCCAATGGCCAGCAATGAGACCTTCTGTCCTGAGTGGCGCAGCGCTCCAAGAATCACAAAACGCCCCAAGATCACTCTCCTTTTGTCAACAGCTTGAAGCCCCAAAGCAGTACCAATCATTTGAAATACGGAGCATCAGTTTTCAATGAAGTATTGGAATGTAGTTGTCTACAGAGTTTGTAGATGACAAAATTGTTAGTATGTACTTGGGAGCGAGAGTGTCTTGGTCTGTCATCGGCTGATTACCAAATGACCCTCGTGACCAAGCTTGCCCATGTGATGATAACTAAACCAGCTGGTTTTCGTTGTGCTACATCAGTCCAGAAGTGATCGATTTGTCACACGTGAAGCCCCCGAAACAGGACTTATCTTGATCGACAGGCGCAATCCATGTCATATGTGAGACTCTTTCCCGACGCTGTGCCACTTTCAACGAGCTGCATCTAGGTGCTGTGGCCCGTCACCTGTTGCTCATTATCCCTGGCATGTTTTATGTTTGGAAAATCGATCTCCAGGGGTTCCGGGTCATTGGTTCACCGGGCGACTTGTATTGAGGATTTAAGGATAGAATGCTGCCTTCTTTCTTTTCGACCCATTCCAGAACAGGTGACGGCAACATCCAATAGCCGCACGAAACAACCCGAATGAACATCACGACAGTTTGGGATTCAAGAATCTACCTCAACTCCAGCTAGATCCACTCACAACTCTTGCTCGGCCTGGCCTATCCTTCCAGCTATTTTTCGTCGACTTGAACGCCTCACCAACTAACAGTTGAGGGAGCCACATGTACGCTCAGATTCATCCCGATGTTGGCATCGTACATTACTTACTCTGACGGTTTCAAGGTTGAGTATCGGAACTGAAGTAGCCAGCCCACTCTTTCGCACGATGGACCACGAGAGCATATCTGTGATCATGCCATCACTAGATACCAGAGAAACGATGGACAGCGAGGCCACACTGGTTGCTGTCTCTGAGAGAGTACAGCCAGCCTCGAGAAATGAGCATTATTATCATCATCAATTTAGTTCCAACAGACACACCATTGGGCTGTTCAAATTTGCAAGAATTATGCTCAGGTTGACACTGCTCTGGGTGAATCTACTGCTTCTCCCCCTTTGCGGCTGGAACGCTGCAAGCTCAACGCTTTTTCTTGTCATACGAGGAGTCCCCCTGGGTCGACAAGTGGAAGCATTTCTTCGTTTATCTTATAATATGGCCAAAATGGAATTCAGTACCGCCGGACTAAATAGGTGATGTTGTGTTGGGTGGCAATTCTTGTACAAGTCCAATGGCGAGATGTTGGAACTCGATCACAATGATTGAGACATTCACATTTAAGCGACCAGACACACTGGTCGCTAGGCGGCGCACTGCACCCTGATTACATGCAATATCTTGAGGTCAAGTTTGCCAGAACGAAGAAGAATATATACACGAAAAGTTGCGAATAGATACATGTGGTTCGTTGCTTGTAGTTACAGTGTTGGGCAACGTCTGAGTGCCCGAAGAATTATACCAAGAAGAATGTCCCGAGCGATGGGAATGAACGTCTCAAATACTTCACTGAAGGTATTCGCCGACAAGAGCCAAGTCGATAATGGCTGCCAGCCCATATAAGGCAGCATCGTTCGTAGAAATCCACGACGCCTCATCGATTGGCGCCAACACGTCACTGCCGTTGAAGTGCACAGTACTCCAAGGAGCAGTTTGTTTCAAACCATCAGTGTTGAAGAACTCATTCCAAGCACGAGCCGCGAGAGTCGCGTTGTTCGTGCGGTGGGCAGCGTACGCAGTGAGACGAGAGTGACCCTGCTTGAGACTCGTGTTACCGAATCCCTTGCCGTACCGCGCCGTCTGCTCGGCGGCGCTGGCACTGTAGTAGTAGCTGTAGTCGTACCACGCCTGTTCGAAACCTGCAGGGACATCGTCGCCAGCATGCTCAATGAACTCGGCGACGACTTCCATGAGTCCGAAGACGGCAGACAGATGGGACACGGCGACGGTGCCGTTGTTGTTGGGGTCCGCGGGCGGGGGTCCGAGGGTGCCGTCGGCGAGGTTGTAGAGGCCAGAGCCTGTGACGAAGCCGTTCTTGAGCTTGGCGATGCTGGCGGCGGTGTTGGTGAGCTTCGTGCGAGCCTCTTCCCAGCGGGAGCCGCGGCGCTCCCACTCAAGAAGCCATGAGGCAGCAAGCGAGGACCAATCCGTGCCAAGACCAACGGCGACAGAGGAGTTGGGAGTCGGGACCCAGCCGTCAGTGCGGACCTTGCGGTTGGGGTCGAGGACACCGTAGGTCTTGTCCGTGTCGAGGATTTCCTCGATCAGCTCGCCGGTGCGCTCGTCGCCGCCCGTGACGAAGAAGAAGACCTTGCGGTACTGCGGCGTCGAGATACGTGCCTGCTTGGCGCTATCGCCCCAGTGCTGGACGCCGTGGCGGGTTCCAAGACCCTTGTACTTTCCGAGATGGTAGACATCGACTTCGCCGGTGTGGCGAACTTGGGCCTCGGCGAAGCGGAAGACGTCTTCGCGACCGGTACGGAGGAAGTAGTTCCAGAAGAAGAGGTCGGGGGAGAGCTCCGAGTTATCCCAGGCGTAGCCGCCGATATCATAGCGCCACTGGTGCCTGTCCGTGTCGTAGGCGTGGATGAAGTCGCCGTGGTCCCAGAAGCCGTACCACTTGCGCTGCTCGACCTGACCTTCGTAGAATTTGAAGAGAAAGTCGAGGTGCTTCTCGATGTCGGCGGCGAGGCCTGAGGGTGACTCGGCCGGAGGTGCCCAGTAGTTACCAATAGCCTTGGTTTCGGCGAGATATTCGGGTTCGCCGAAGAGGACGGGAGGGTTGTTGGTGTGGTCGGTCAAGTCGGCAAGGAGCGTACGGTTGGGGGTCTGGTCGAAGCCGTAGAGGAAGATTTCGTTGGTTCGGGCGACGCCGTAAGGGTTGTTGAAGCCGGGCTCGTAGTCTTCGTACGTGATTTCGAGAGCATCGAGCTGCTCTGCGTAGGTCTCCTGGCCGAGACCGTCGTGGTAGGGGCGGATATCCAGAGCGGGTGCCGAGGGGCTGTAGATCCAGATTGTAATCTCACCCTTGTCCGTGGCGGCGTTGGTGATGTCGATGCCGGTCGGGTAACGCTTCCAGAAGTTGCGCAGGCCAACGGCGAGACCACCTTTGGTGGCACCGCCGAGGTACGCCAGACCGCCCGAGCGAGTGCCGCCGGGGATGTTGACCCAACTCTGACCAGCCTTGGTGCGCTTCTTCAACGTGAAGCCATCAGGAGAGAGCTGGGTCAAGCTGAAGTCGCTCCAAGTAGGGATCCACTTGAGTCTGGTTGTGACTCTCTGGTCCCATGTAGCAGGATCGGCGAGCTCCACGCCCTCGAATTGATCGTTGCGGATGTCGACGCCGGGGTCTCTGCGGAGACCGGTGATGCCCTGCACGGCTTCACTCAGGAGACCTCCGTCGATGCCGGAGATTCTGACGTGACGGTTGTACTGTTCCTCGCCCTCGAGGGGAACCTCGAAGCGGATGCCAAGTCCAGAGATGAAGTCTTCCTTGGCGTTGCCATCGTAGATGACAGTGTGTACGATGCGAACGGCCTCGGAGTTATGGTAGAGGTAAAAGCGAAGGATGAAGGGAAGCCAGTCTTCGTGGCTACCGTCGCCGGAGTGCCTCCCACGGACGGTGACGAGGGCACGAGCAGTGTTGTCCTTGCTGACAGTGACCTCTTCGATGTTGCTCTCGAAGTTGAAGTAGTTGATAGCAGATTGGCCCTTCAATTCCGCCTGGTCCTCCACGCCGGACTGAGAGTGCAGCACCAGCTTTCCGTTCTGGCCGATAGTCTTGCCAGATGCAGTCTTAATCTCGCCAACGACGACATTACCCGATTTGGGGAACGTGATGGCAAGCTTGCCAGTATCGACACTAACGGCATCAGATGAGTCGGTGACGGTCAGGCCGCTAGACTGCTGCCGTCTGGCACGAGAGAAGCGCGTCGTCGAGTTGGACGACGAAGATGCGCTGACTGTGTACTCGTCCAGGATCGTGTCGGATTCGGGGATCGCGTGGCCGGTCCATTTGATGGAGCCGTCAGACCAGTATGCCGTCACCCAGGTCTGCAGCAAACCGCCGCCTGAGAGGGAGAACTCGGTCGAGTTGGGGAAGTACTTGCTGCGGGCCCAGGGCAGGCCGAATGTCGTACCGGCGGTGTAAGAGGGAGTGCTGCCGAGCCATTTGACGGTGGCGCTATCGCTGGTGCTGTTGTCGAAGCGTTGCGCGCTGGCCGGGCCCATGAGGCCGGCGAGGGCAACGAGACCAAGAGCGAGCCGAGACATTCTTGGAAGAACAAAGAGTGAGGAACTCAAGACGTCTGACCGTGCACCGTTACAACAGCTGCGAAAAGAAAGGCGGCGACGGTGATGCTCTAATAAGAGCCCAAGACATCTTCGGTGCAGCGGAAAGCGAAAGCAATTCTCATCAAGTCGACCGCGCGATCCGCCGAGTCTTGGCTCGCGGCACAGCCTGTGGATGGCATCATCCGACGCGATGATCTTGAGTCGTGGGAGTGGACGGATGAATGCCTTCAGACTTGGCCCGACGCGATCTCAGCGCGCATGATGCCATCCGTTCGCTCCATCTTTCTCGGGGAGTCGCCCGCAATCGAGGGGGATGCTACGCTGCTGGTGGCCGCTAGATCTGCAGGTTAGATGAGGCCAAGGGAGTCCCCTCTTTCTCTTGACTTGGGTCGCGGAGCGTCATACCTGCAAGAGAATCAAAGAGCCATATGAAGCTCTGTGCCGATCTAGCTTCAAAGAGCTGCAAAATGGAAGGGGAAGCTCTCAACTTCGGTGCAATTGCACCGATGGCGGAGGAAAGGAACCGGGGAAAGGGTCCAACTTTGAGGTGTCCAGGGGCACTTTGTCACCTCCCAGACGGGGCAATTGGGCCGGGATGCAGGTCCCGCACATGTTCCACCGAGAGACCGAAGAACTCCAAGACTTTTGACCAAGGATTTCCAACTGCGATCCAATGGGGAAGAGCCGAGAAGGATGCGGGGTAAACGGCTTCTGGTGCTTGATGGTGAAAGAGGTTGAAGAAGCGAGATTAGACTTTGGGATATGCATATTCGTAAGGTGATGAATGCAGGGGGAGCTCGTTGTGGGAGGAAGCTAAGGTTATTAAGCCTTATTGCAACCTCGAGCACGCAATATTGTCATCTCATGTCGAATGGAGTAATTGGGGCCGCTGTCAACGTTTTCTAGAGCATATTCCCCTTCGTATTCGCAGCAACGAATGACTAACCAAGCCGCAGCAAGATTCGCGACCTGACGGTTACAGGGACATGGACGCAGGAACGTACCAGACTGCCGGAAAGAGACATGGGGCCGGAATGCCATCGAAATCATCATGAATTGCGCGGAGGCTGCACGAAGTTTCGTGACGTAGGCTTGTATCTAGCTCGTTAGATCCATCTCTTGAGACCACTTCTTATCAAAGACGAAATGTTCAATTTCGAAGAGGTGATCAGGTTTTGCAGCTGTGAAAGAAGTTCATCACCTCATCTCCATCACATGCCTCCTCCACGGCCTCTGCTACATCGGTCGCAGCACAGGCGGTTTAAGTCAAATCACGACATGTAGAACCATGTTGTCGATATTTGAAGACAGCTCCAAGATCAATGATAGCTGTTCCATTGTCATTAATTCATGTTCACCGAAGCCCGGCCACCAAGACTCGCTGCATGTGGCCAACTAACCATGCACTGCCGTCACGATCGGTTTGACCCGCCCGCCCATGCCGCGCCTTCGGCTTTCGGGATGACACCTTAATCTTTGCAGGGTAAGGCAAGGATACGATGATAAGAAATCGCGTCTTTATACCCTAGACCCATGGACAGCGATTTAAATACGGCGGACCGCTCGGAGCTGGCCTAGTCACACAGGAGCGAGGCGAATCGCGGCTGATTTTCGAGGTTTACATGCGCCTTGAAGTTGTACATCAAATCTATCAAGAACGATTATAACCTACCACATGTTTTGCTTGAGGTGAAGAAAGGTAGATCTAGCCGGGATATTGGACCGAGAAACGAGGTCTTCGAGGCACATGTGCAAGAAGCTATTCTTGAGCCCAGATGAGAACTACGAGACCTATCCGATCGTCGATTTTCAAAAATTGTCCAATCTCCCGCATTCTTCATATGCATTGCATTCTCCCCTGAATAGACTCTGGTCTGTTGTCCACGACGTTGTATACCCAGAACAAAAGTCAACGGGTGATATTGGGTACCAAGATGAATAGGCATAGCCCAAGTCATAGCTACGTTAGTTCCGCAAACGACATGTCGACAAGTATAGAGACCTTAAACCTAAAAGTGATTTACAGCAAAGTCAGAGATTTGAAAAGCGCGTTATCGAGGGAGAAACTTGATTCCCCGCTGGCTTTCAGCTTGCTAGCTTCAAGGGAAGCTTTGGCGCTACAGAATGTCAACAATCTCGGTTTCGTGGTGTAGTTGGTTATCACGTCAGTCTAACACACTGAAGGTCTCCGGTTCAAGTCCGGGCGAAATCATTTCCTTTTGCTTTACGACGCAATTCATTTCACGATGCCAATTCTATCATTTTTGATGTTTTTGGAGCAATTCCAGATGTCATTGAGCAAATTCCTTTCAAAGTTCAGCCACCCGCGATTTAGGCTTTTGACAGTTTTTGTTGGAGTCAAGGCCCGACAAGCCGCTTCCGTGCCACACCGGATGCTCACCATTGAAGAAAAGGGTAATCTTTGAGCTATTATTTTCATATTGCTGATTCAACTAACTAGGTACTAAGGTTCCGATGCAATCAATCCGCGCTCGTAGTTTTCCAAACATGACAGATCCCTGTGATTCTCACGTCTCTCGGCCTCATGCCGTCGTCTTCTTTGCATCATCGCCGCCATCGGCCATCTCCAGCTGGCCGGTCGCAGCCGCTGCTTGTGCGACCTCGCTGCCAGCTGCCTCAGCTTCTGTGGCCGACCGACCCTCAACCTGTCCATCACCAGCGACCTCCGCTTCAGGCTTCTTGTCGCTATCGTTCTTAACAGTCTCTTTCGAATCAGCAGCCGGCGCCTGAGACGACGCCGACTTTCTGAAGATGTTTACGCTTGGCAGCGACCAGCCCTTCTTCTTGCTGTCGTCAGCGGCGGGCTCGGCAGGTTGAGACTCGAGTTGGCCAGCAGCCGCTGCCGCTTGAGCAGTCTCGTTGCCGACAGCGTCACTTGCAGTCTCTTGATCTTCCTTCTTGTTGTCAGCGACGGCCGTCTCTGGCTTTGCAACATCTCCCGTCTTGGCGACATCCCCGATGGCATCGTTCGCCTTCTCGGTCTCTGGCTTCTCCCCGTCGGCCGGCACTTGCGAGGGCGTTGCCTTTCTGAAAATGTTGACACTCGGCAGCGATGCCTGGCCCAAGGATGAGACCGAGGTGGGAACCTTGGGCATATTCGGCATGTTGGGCATGTTGGGCATATTGGGCATACCTGGCATACTGGGCATACCAGGAAGCCATCCCTTGACGCCTGTACCTGTTGACTGCGCGATGCGGAAGAGATGCTGCATGTACGTCCGCTTCTCCTCGTTAGTCATGTTCTCCGGGTTGATATCGCCCACCAAATCTCCCTCGCCGTCGGCGGGGAGTGGCACGAGCGAAGCAGCGGCGGCGATGTCAATCGGTGACTCGTCGGGTATTCCATCATCCGTCGACTTTGACGCTTCCTTCTCGTTGAACTTTTCGTCAATCTTGTCGTCCGAGTTTTCTGCTGGTGCTTCGGTGTTCGAAATAGCTTTCTCCAATGTTTCCTCAACCTCGGCATCCTCCGCAACCTCCTCGGGCGGCGTCTCGCGGAACTTGGCATCATCGACAACAGGCTCCTCGCTCTTGAACCACTCAATCACCAAGTCGGCCGCATTCTCCGTCATCTTCTCGTACCCCTTGTGCTTCGCAGGCTGGAACATGGCCATATGCGCAGCCACCTCGTCGTCAACCTCTGGCAGAACCTGTCGCGAGAAGAGCGATGAAGCAGGATGACTCTCCTCCGGTACGGCGCAGAACGTCCGCTCGGGGACAAAGTAGCCACCCTGCCAGTACCCGTTCTCGCCCAGCGACGCATAAAAGTCGTGAATGCCGACACCCTTGAGCGCACCCATCCGCTCGAGGCGGCGGTTGAGTTCTTTCTGCTTCATGAGCGCGCCAACGAAAGTGAAGTGGTCCGAGAGCCAGGCAAAGGATTGGCCGACGTTGCCGCGGTTGATATACGCCAGCCCCTGGCCGAGAGCATCGACGCTCTGCTGGTACCCTTCCTTGACGGAGTTCTTGTTGAGGCCCTTGAGGCTCTTCATGATGGCCTCGCGGTTGACATAGGCGGCGACGCCGCCGGCAGCGATGGCGCCCACAGTGCCTGTTCTCACGGCGACGAGCTGCCATGTCTTCCAACCTGGGTTTCGGGTGGCCGTAGTCGTCACGGCAGAAGTTGCGGCGCGGCGGGTTCCTAGGCGGGCGAGGGTGGAGGGTGCGGCGGCCGAGAGAGCCGTCATGACGTTAAAGACGCTGCTGACTTTTTGGTAGTTTGAGAAGCCGCCATAGACGAACATGGAGCGGGCGAGGCCGTTGTAGGGGGTGTCGAAGGTGAGGATGCCCTGGATGAGGGGGAAGATTGGGTCATCTTCGGATGGGTTAGACTGCGCCCGCTCATTGATGGCTAGGAAGAGCGAATCTGCGGCGACGAATCCTCTAAGGTGTGTTAGGCTTGGATCACTTGAGCGTGCAGATTTGCGAGACTGCCTACCCCATAGAATGAGCGACGAGAACGACTCCGACTTCTCTGTCCTTGGGTGGCCAAGGTTTCTCGACGCTGGCCTTTCTTACATCCATGACCCTCTCCTTCAGCCTACATGGTGTTAGCATGCTTCAGGGTAATGACTACTACGAGTGGTAAGTAGACTGACCATGCGAGAAACGCTTCGGTGGCCTGCGCCAGCTCGCCTTTGGTCTCATACTGAGGGTACACGATGGACTCGACGCGATGGTCTGGGAGTTGCTTGGTGACTGATCGCTTCAGGTCCTACATCGCAAGCATCAGTATAGAAGAAATGGGCGCGTGGTGCCGAAGGAGTCTCACATCTGGAAAATCATGAAATGTGTCTTCGTTCCCCTTGTGAAATTTGTACTTGTTAGCTGCTTGCTGTGCCGGCGCATCGATGGCTTGCTGTTGTTGGCTACTCACTTTGAAGCCATGGATGAAACACAGAAGCAGTGTCCGAGGCATGATGGACTGATGATGTGCTCCCTTCTCTAGATACGGTGAT